GGAATGGCCACAAACTGAAGCACCAAAAGTTCCACAGGAACTTAAGGAAAAATTTTTTTTAACAGTGAGGGTGACAGAGCACTGGAACAGGCTGCCCAGAGAGGTTGTGGAGTCTCCTTCTCTGGAGATCTTCAAAACCCGCTTGGACCCAGTCCTGTGCCATGTGCTCTAGGTGTCCCTGCGTGTGCAGGGGGGTTGGACTACATGATCTCTAGAGGTCCCTTCCAACCTTAACAATTCTATGATTCTATATAAAGGAATATATGTCTGTAGTAGTGGAGTTCTACAATTTGTCAGCTACCAAATAATACCTCAGGTTGTTAGTCAGCAGCACCTTCCCTTCATAAAAAACAAAACAAAATCCCCAAAACAAACAAACAAAAAACCCTGCATCACCCAGTTGAAATGCAGAAATATTTATTTTGGTTTCCTTCATTGGTTTTGAAAATTGTTTTGGTTTTATAAAACATAGAAATAGCCAACACTAAGCAAACATTTGAATTCCAATGTAAAACTACTGCTCTAACAGTTGACTTGGATTTGTGTACCTTAATTGCACACATGTATGAAATTACGCTACAGAGTAGTGCATTACAATCACACACAAATCTTAGTGCAAACCTTGTTGTGCTTGTATTTTACATATATCCATGTTTTCAAAAAACAGCAATGAATGCTAATGCAAAACCAAATCTGTTAAAGAAAATCTTACGCTGTAATAAGGCTTATTTCTGCTGATTCTCAAACAAAAGGTAGACTAGTAATTTTATATTTAATCTGGGAATTTAGTTTTTAATCCCTGAACAAATCACGATCCTGCACCACACAATTCCATCAGCATTTTTGAATGCTTCCAATTGCTGTACAGTATCAGGCAGAAACAGACATTCTACCTGGCCTCTTTCACTGAGGAATCCTCAGTGGCTCATTATGCACAGAAAACCTCAGGTCAGAAACTATTCTGCTTGTAGAGGACCCATCACATTTAAAATAATGCAATTTAAATGTATGTTCATTGCAGGGGAACAAGTGGCTAGACCTGGTGCATGTTTACCTGACTGTTAGCATAGCCCATCCTCTTGAATGATTTTATTTTTAGATCTCTAGTTTTTCTTGCCAGAGTTAGGATCTGTTCTATTACAGGGCTGGCATCTCTCTGGAACTGTGTTAAAGTAGCAAAGGCTGCATCACTTTATTAACTGCATCCACACTTCTAGTGCAGGAAAACCAAATGCAGACTTACTCTGGAGCACTTGCAAGAACCAGTCTCTTCTGAGTGAAGTTCCAACTTCTACCTTACAAATTAAGCCTCAAAACTCGGGCCCAAAAGGGAGAAAGTCACTCTGACACCTTGCCCCAGTTAGTATTCGGGCTAATACAAGATGTGATACCAGCTATACAACGGGGTTTTGACAGACTAACTCATCCTTCCCCGGGTGCAACATACTTAGAGGTGTTTCAAACCTACCAAATCCGTTTGGGGTTGACAACCGCAAGATACACTGCAGACAGCAAACATGCTGGCAATAATAAGAAAAAAATACCTTAGCTCCTTGGTTAAGGAGAGTCCCATTTTTGGCCAAGTAAATCTTAAATAACTTACACATAGTTACCATTTTATAGTTAAGGCTCTTTTTTGGAAATTGCAGGTCACCATAAAAACAATATGCAACACAACTTGACAGTAAGGCAGTGTTCCATTTCTTCAATGTTCCTATGGCAAGTACCCATTGTTGTACAAGTTAATGATTGCACAGTTTCCTTCCTTATGTTTGCTGTAGTCGAATTACAGATATGAAGGTCAACAGTAGACATCAGATGTGTGCCACTTTCCTCAATCCATTCTCAGTTACATTTTGGCATTAGCATAGAGTTCATCTATCTGTGACTTGAAATATTTTCGTAGTTCTGGTCTCTTGGCCTTCAGTGTTGGTGTCAGCAGCCCATTTTCAATGGAAAACATTTCTGGATGTAGGGCAATGTCTTTGACCTGGAAAATTGAGAGTTACTAGCCGAACTATACCCTTTGAAGAGGCTAAAGGGGCAGGGAAAGGAGCAGGAAATACTCAGACATCATAACAGAACCCCTTACATAAAAGCTTCCCCAATGCTAATTAAAACCAGTTTTGAGATTTGGATTATATTGCTGTTTTGAAACGCCAATATGAACAGAACACTATTTTCTAAATAACTCACCTGTTCAAATGACTTCAAGCCAAATTCTTTCCCAATTCTCACCATGTCTTCCAGAATGAGATTTTTGAGGTCCTGTAGACACAGGAAGATAGCACATTGTAGATCTTGAAAAAGCTCGAGCAGAATAGTTAACTGCCTTATTAGATATGACCCACCTTGTTTCTGCATAGCTCTTCGTATGAACCTTCAAATCCCCTTTTCTTGGCCCAATTGCTCAAAGTCTCTGGATCAGGTACCACAACAGCTATTAAGAAGGCCTAAGAAGAAATATTTTGTCATTTTTTTTGAATATTAAATGGGGTTCTTGTCTACTTTTACTAGTCACTCTAAAGGCAGGTCTTATCTTGCTGTAAAATCAGCAGCTTTCTACTGCCTTAAAACAAGACTTCATTTTAAAAGCCTGTGCTTAAAAGACTTAAAACCAATGTTTTAATTTACTCTTACAAAAATGTAAATGGAGTGTTATTTGGATTTCCCCAGATGCTATTAGCAATTTATATATTATCATTAATACTCAAAACTAAATTAATCTAGCTCCATTGCTTAGTCTAAAACCAAATCCACAAACATAACCTGTAGTGTCCAAGCTGGATTCAAAGACAAAATGTTAGTTAACTTTTAGAAGTCTTACTTAAAACTAAGATTCCCATCTCATAGAAGTTCGGGGATGGGCAGAGAGAGAAGCAAGGAGGACTTTTTTGCAGCCTCCCCTTGCACTCATTACAAAAATTGCCCGAAGAATGCTTACCTGCAGGCTCTCTCCATGGACAAACACCTGAGCAAGAGGTTCACTTCTCAGGTACACATTCTCTATTTTCTCTGGTGCTATGTACTCTCCCTGGGCCAGTTTAAATATGTGTTTTTTCCGGTCAATGATCTTCAGTGTACCATTCTGTTGGCAGAAATGATTTCTGGTCAGAAGAGGCCCTTTGCACAGTAACTGGCCTATGCAGCTTAAGCATTCTGTGGCAGATCACGTAACACACCAGAATTAAAACATGAACAAGAGCTTGCTTTTATGCATTTCTACTTCAGAGACCATTTTGCAACATTTGCAAGTAGTCTTCAACAGACCAGAAGTGTTGCTACTTAAATTCTGGCTTAATAGTCAATCTATGTTGGCGGAGTAAGGGTGGAGAGCATTAACAGTGCCTATTCTGAGGCTTTCTCTAGTTTCAGTTAGGTTAGATGTGCCCAGTGTCTACTTTCTCCCATTAGTTTTACAGGGCTCCGGCTCTAACAGTTTTTTACTGTTTTATGAATAATAACTTGTGTGAATAAACTGTCTTGCATCCTTCACATTGTTTCATATATAACAGTACCAGTTGTAAGTGCTATCCTCTTCCTAGACTTATTGTCTTGCCCCAGTTAATTATTTTTGATACCAAATAGGTAGCTTCATTTGTTAAGTTAGCAACAGCAACTACAGAAATAGACCTCAGTTTCCCAAGTCCACTTACAGGTAGCCATTTCCCAATATCTCCTGTATGAAGCCAGCCATCTTTGTCAAGAGCCTCTGCTGTTTTCTCTGGATCTTTCAAATAACCAGAAAAGACGTTTGGCCCTTTCACACACACCTGAAACAACATTTCATTAGTTGATGCTGCTAGGAAGTGAAATTCACAGTCACTATTTGCCAGAAATGCTTTCGCCATTAGCTCTCAGTATTCCTCATTTGATCACAAACAAAACCAAATGCAGTTAGTTAGTACAGAAATCTCTACTCATGTTTGAGGCATAGTATTTTCATCAGTAAAATATAATAAAAAGCAAATGGAAGCATCTTTCCATCTAGCAGGAGTGTTCTTTCTTGCTATCTAAATAATCTGCATTTATCAACTCTGCAGATACCCAGGAATACCACCTCTCAGGGAACACTTGATTTGGCCTTTGTAAGCCACAGAAACATTAATGGAGAGATAGCTATGAAAAAAGCTGCAGATCAAACAAACACTTGTTTATTATCCAAAAGTAAAATAGCAATCATGGTAGAGTTAAAGTTGTCAGGATTTGCATACTGAGTAAACACTGTTAAGGAGACCCAAAAATGTGTTTGATCCAGCTGAAGATAAAAGCTGAAGAGCAGACAGCAGAGGATGCAAATCTATCTTAGGCAAAGGCAAATGAGAG